ACACACACACACACACGACACACACACACACACGACACACGCACGACACACACAGACACACACGACGCACACAGACACACACACACACACACACACACACACACACACACACACACACACACACACACACACACACACACACACACACACACACACACACACACACACACACACACACACACACACACACACACACACACACACACACACAAACAAACAAACACACACACACACACACACACACACACACACACACACACACACACACACACACACACACACACACACACACACACACACACACACACACACACACACACACACACACACACACACACACACACACACACACACAAACACACACTCACACACACACACACACACACACACACACACACACACACACACACACACACACACACACACACACACACACACACACACACACACACACACACACACACACACACACACACACACACACACACACACACGTGTTTTTAATCTCTGTGTTAAAACGATTAAGCCTTGACTTCAAAAGTTGTATTTGGTGTGAGACAGCTAAACTTGAGATGAAGGACTCCACATTTCTTCATGCACCAAGTGTTCGTCTTGTTGTAGTTCTTGTAGTCAGACCATGGGCCGCGCAGTCAGGCCATTCCTTTTCACTGTGCTGAGAAGCATGGTGCCGATTCGGCCAGTTCTTCATTTTTGGCCCTTGCTCGGCCGATGTTCTCCTCACTTCTCTCTACGCATTGTTTTTGCGCACTGGAAAACATAATCAGCACGCAGTCCGGAAAGGTGCAATCATGGTTGGATCCTTCCTTTTGATCTCCGCGCTAACCTCGAGTTGACTCGGAGTTCATCTAACAGCGCGTTCATCATACACGGGTTCCTGCTTGTTCAAGCGCGAATGTGCGGTCTTGTTGCAATGTTCCGTCTTGATACCACAATGGTATGTGAGTACCGGTGGCAAGACTTGATGGATCATCTCATTTGCTTCTGCGGCGCGTCGTGCGCAGTCCTCTCCTGCTGGTTGCTGTTTCGGGGTCTTCGATGATGTTAAGCCCAACGTCCGCATGTCTCTGATCGTCTCTCGGGTCTTGACCGACTTGTTCAAAACATGAAGCAGTGTGCACTAAAAATATTATTCATTGTCGTTTAATTTTTAGAAGAAGTCAATTTTGGCAGTCCTGTGTCACGCCTACATTCTCTTTCATATCTACTCGAATCATGAATGTCTTTCTTTGGATATTGTATTCTCATAAAGACAGATATGACATGCTTCTTTGTCCTTCCGTGGCATTCTTGGAGATAATTTTATTGGCATGATGAAGAATTTAACAAAATAAGTGATGTAATATGAAGGGTGATTATTTTTATATAATGCTTGCCGTAGCATTGCAGCGCGCAGGGGTGGCGCTTGAAGGTGCGATGTTTCTGCGCCAGGAACGGCTCGGGCCCTTTGCTCATCAGCGCGTTTCTTTGATGTATGCGGCAAATTTCCCTGGATAAGTCCAATCAATTCACGCGGCCTTGGCGCATTCAAAAAAGGCCCCAAAGCCGTTTCGGACTGCTCCGAGCACCCAACCACACCGAAATGACCAACACGCGCAGTCCGCCAGCGCAGCCCCGGATGGGGGTTCAGTGGTTCAATAAGAAGCGCTTCATAGCTTCGGTTTGTCGCTCCTTCAGTATATTTCCCCCTTACAAGCTCCATCCTGGTGAGCGAGTAAATTTTCTGTCGGACAATGAGTTGGTCCAGCGTGCGGTTTGACACCTGAGGACGGATCCCGCCGTGAGCTTTTTGGTGGTGGACTCAGCCTCCTACGTTCGGGCAACGGCTGTGGAACTTCTGAAAGACAGGGCTGCAGCTGGGGACTCCTCATCCATTGAGGCGTTATGCTTGGCGCTGGAGGAGTGCCTTTTACCCATTCAGAGGGCGGAACACCGCAGCATTGGTGCGTGTTTTTTTGTTGGGGGTTGCTGTTGAAGCTACAGGATTCACCATCTTGGGGCCTAGCTTGAAGCATCTGCATATACAAACGCGTGTTCAGTTTTGTTCTTGCGCGCCGGGGAAGCACCCGTTAGGACAACCTGGAGGTCCGCCAGGCCGCCATCGAGACATTGGGCGGCGTCGTCGCGCGCGGTTTCGGAGTGGGCGCTGTCTGCCGCCAGCTGGGCCACAGAGAGGCGGAGGTCCGGCAAGCTGCGGCGGCCCAGCGACACCGCAATTTGTTGGTCGGTTTCTCTTTACAAGGCCAACGCGCCCTCTTTTTCTGCAGCCCGCAAAGAAGATGTGAATTTTCAGTGAAGCCTTTTTGGAAGAGAGCGGCGCTCTTTTGCCAAGTAAGGTGGAGGTTTTGTGCCGCGCAGACCCCGTGAAGGTCATGATGATGTTGCCAGGGCCGCGGCACCCAAATGCTCCAAGCCGAAGTGCCGTGGTGCAGGTTGTAGGCGCCATGGCGTCCAAAGGCCACGCGGAGGCTTTCAGCCGTTTGCAGGATGCGTTGCACGACGAGAATGCCGCCGTAAGGCAAGAGGCCCTCAAAGCATGGTGCTGGATTGACCCTTACAATAGGGCAAATACTTCGGCGCGGCCTTTCACTCAATCTTTGGATTGACTTGTGCGGCCTGAGCCCAGCCGTTGGGTGCTCTGGTGAGCCATCGTCTGGGAGCGGTACAGCGGCCGCCGCCAACTACAACCAAGATGAGCTTCTGCAATTGGAGGATTTGCTACAGCCAGGATGCCAACAAGCTTTCCAACAAGCCATCGGTCACACGCAAGGCGACATGACTATCCGGCGTCGCTTGTTTGATGTCCAAGGGTGTGCCTTCTGAACGTGAAGCGCGCAATGTTTGTGTGGCTTTTTGAGTCAAACTTCACGGGTGTACCATGGGGACGAGCGTAACATAAGCCAAACCCTGGTTGAACTGGCCGGGGGAGGATGTCCGCACATTGTCACATGAAATGTCAAACTCTGGACTGCAATGCGGACCGGCTTAAAATTGCAGGGTGGGATGTTGGGCAGTTCGCGCCCTTTGTTGCCTCATGGAGGGCAAACAACTCCAGCGTCTCCAGTGCTTGCGAGCTTCTCGGACAGTTTGGGCTGCGTTGTTCCATGATCAGTGCGAATCGCACGATGTTGGCCTCCGCAGGCATGCAAGCACGCGTGGATCTACTTTCCAATGCGCAACGGCTGCGCTAGATCTTTTCACCCCAACTCCTCTTCACGCCGTGTCAGCTAGCATCAACACAAGCATACACTTCATAGACGCAGCGCAAATATGCTCAAAGGCAGACAGCCCCGTCACAAGCAGAACATGTAAGGACAGAGCTCCAGGAAGCCCATGCCAGTCAAATTGAGCAGCCCTTTGCTCGCGCCTCTTGCCGGCGTTCATGGCAGCCGATGCGTGGGGGTGCCCAAAACACGTGCTTTCGCTGGCAAGGATTCATGGCTCAGACATCACATAGCTTTGTTTAGTTGTTTTTCATTGGCGGGAAAGGGAGGTCAATTATGACTTTGCCACGTAGGGGCGCGTTTGCCTTTTTGTTGCCCACTTGAGGTTCGACTGATCCACTGAGAATTGAATTGCACTCAAACCCACCCAGGTTTTGTATTGTTTTGTTGGAAGTCCACTGAATCCTTCCCTGACTGTGATTTTAGAGCCCCTTGCCTGTAAAATGAGCGAGTCCGAGTTTCTTGCAACAAGTAATTTACCCTCCGAGTGGATCGGCATCCGGCAGCAGCCTCTTCGCGATTGCAACTCTTGGTCCATAGTCTACATCGCTCCAAGGGGCAATCAGATGTGTTGCCCGCTTTTGCGCTGGTACTGGGGCCTTTAACTGGGGCCGTGATTTTTGCACCCTCGGAGATTCCCCCAGAGTGCTAGCCGTCCGCAAATGAGCGGCATAGAGATAGCGAGCTGAGGAAAGATGAAGCACGAGGACAATGTAAAAGTGAACAGAGATGGAGAGAAATGGAAAAGTCATTATGAAGGAAACAAACCAGCTTACAACCATTCCATCTCAGTCTTTTCTATAAGAATATTCACCTTGATTATGGTTATCTTCTTCAAATTCTTGTATTAACTATTGGCTTGTCATGGCTTTCCTGACGTTTCAATATGTGAGATTCCTTATTCTTTCTACCTACCATCTCTCACAGATAGGTCCTAAGGTTTAGTGACGGGAACGGAAAGGATATGAAAAGAGAGAGCCTTTTTACCCGCTCACCGCTCAATCAATTCCTTTCCCTTTATGTCGTACCTTCATGGCCTGATGAAGAGCGGAGCGGTGAAAAGAAGGCCATCCATCACTTGGTCTTTCTCTTTGGCACGCTCTTCTACAAGTTAATTTGGAAAGACATGGCGTGCCAAGTGAAAGGACGAGGAGAGAATGAGAGAGTGGACGAGCGAATGAACGGTGGGGAAGCTCTGTCCGTCCTCTCCAGATCCTTTCGTATCTTCCACGGACTCAGATGCTTCCAAGCGAGTAACGAGCGGGGCAGTGGATGGAAAGGGTTTGCGTCCCGTCTCTTCGTTCCTCGTCTCTTAGCTTCTGGGACCTTTCCGTCGACACGAAGAGATGAGTGACAGGGAAGTGACCAGGAAGCTCCCATCTCTTCACCCACTCTTTCTCCCTTTCATCGCGAGCTCCGAAGCGAGGAGTGGGTTAAGAGTGGGAAAAGAGATAGGGAGAGACTCCTCTCTATCATCTCTTCACCCATTCACCTCTTGCTCCCTTGCTTGCCTGTCTCCTTCCGTGCCATTCACTCACCTCGTTCGTTCCGGAAGGACAGGCAAGGATGAAGAGATACAGAGATGAGAGAGGCTTAGACAGGAGGTGGTCATGGGATAGAGATTCACCCACCTCCAGCCTCTCCACTGTCTATCTCTCTCGCTTCCTCGTCCTTCCTTCTCTCATTCCTTAGGTCTAACCGTGTAACCAAGATAACTCTGTGAGAGGCAAAAAATGCTCTAGAAATCTTTTCCCTTTCATATTCTCTCTACATCAGCCCCTGACTGGCGTGGAATCCTCTATGTCTTACCTTCCACGTCCCACAACTCACTCCAGGAACAGCGTGTAGAGAGGAGATAATGATGGATGCAATGTCCTTCACTCACCATTTCTTTTCTCTCTTATTATCTCCTCCTATCGATCCAGGTCCCTTCAGAATTAACTTGGACGGGACAGGAGAAAGAGATAGGATTCTATATGTTAGTTCTCTTCCTTTTCCTTATCTCTCTTTTCACTATTCATTTTTATTATTTTCCAAGATCCTTTTCTCCCATCTGGATTACCCGCTAGGTGGTAGAGGGTCCAGAAAGCGAGGGATGTGACTGGGAAGGATTACCTCTGTTTCTGAGCTTTTGCTTTCCTAGCTCTTCTCGTCAACAATCCAGAGGCATCCTTCATATTTGTCTTGCTCTCCTTATCTCACCCTTGGCATCTTCTGGAGAATTAGTTAAGGATGGAATGCCGAGGGAGAAGAGATAAGATAACGAAAGGAAAGGCAAATAACCAAAATGAATCTCTGAGAGTTAGGGCATGCCTTGCCTCGTCTTCTCTCGTCAGCATGTGGCCTAACCCTTGACCTCTGTGCCGGGCTCGTCTTAAACACATTTTGCCCGGCAGGGAATGACGTGGAGGGAAGCGACCGGAGTCTTGACAAGGAAGCGAACAGACAAGGAATGACCCATCCCTTCGTTCCCATCATTTCACTACAGTATATGAGTGGGAAATAGAATGGGAACAGATAGAGATGAAAGAGGGAAGGGATAGAGAGTGGAACAGCGGAAGTTGGTGACGGATGGACACGTCCTTACCTTTCCTCCCTTCCTTGTCCTTTCCTCCGTCTGGTCGCTCACCCCTGACTCGCTACCCGTCTGGATTAATAGGACGGACATTAATCTCTTTCTCTTGTTCACCTCGCTCTCTCCACAAAGATAACCAGCCAGTTAGGAGATGAACAAGATCCAAAGAGAAATGCCATCTCTCATCCATCCATTGCACGCTATATCTTATCTTCAATGAAGGCGTGCGGAGATAGGGATGGATACGGAGATGAGGGGATGGGTGATGAGGAATGATGAAAGAGATCTCACTCACCCATCTCCTTCCTGTCTTCTCTTTCCATTTCCTACCGCCTATTACACTCTACTTCCGGAAGACCAAGATACAGGGAAATGCTTTTAGACGGTTCACCTTGTCCCTGGACCGGCTCTTGGCTAACAACTTTTTATCTTCTCCAAACTTAGGGATTAACGCAAACCCTCAACTCAGCGCAAGGTGTCACACATACAAACTGCCACCCAAGCAAGAAGTCAAGGATTTTGGGACAAGACGACAGCAACCGGCAACTGTCCACCTCGCTTTGTTTCATTTCTTGGGCAAGGTGGGAGGGCAAAGGCCAAAATATGTCCAAAGGCTGAAGGCAGGGCGCAGGTGGCGGAGAAATTATGGTTGATCGCCAAATCCCACAAATCCAGCCACCAAAGCCCCCAAACCCAATCACCAAAAACCTCAAACCCAATCGCTAAATCCCACAAACCCAATCTAATTGCCAAATCCCTGAAACCCAACGCACCACAAACCCTAAACCCTAAACCAAAAACCCTCCTCAAAACCAAAAAAGACTAAAACTTAAAACCCAAAACCGAAACCTAGAACCAAAAACCAAAACCCAATAACCGGACACCAAATTTCATTGACCCATAGCCAGAAACCCAAAATCCCAAATCCTAAACCCTAAAACCCAATCGCCAAATTTTAAAATCCTGGAGCCCAATCACCAAATTCCTGTTAATCCAATCGCCAAAATAGACCTAGGGCTTAGGGGGCTAGGGCTCTATCTTATATATATATATATATGTTTTTTTTGAATACAATTAAAAAAGATATTTATTTGATTTTTTGCCAATTATATTTAATTAAATTAATTTGTATTTTAAATTATTTAAATAAAAATATTAATGATTTTTATTATATAAATATATTTATATTTAATAGGTTATTTGATTTAATATAATTTATTTTAGATTTTAGAATATTCATTAATAATATTTAATAGATCGAATATTTTTGTTTGATATGAACATTCGGCATTGGATATGAGATATATTATGAGGGATTTATTTTTATTTATGTAATTTTTGAAATATATATTTAATAAAATCATTTTAATTTTAGATACATTAGGAAATTTTTATATATATTGGTTAACTAATGAAAATATTATTTATGGTTTATATAATTGTAAATTATATATATTTATATTAACTTATAATTAATTTTATTTCAAAAATGAAAAATTAATGTTTGAACATATAAAAGTAAGTTAATATATTTTTAGTAATATTAATATATATATAATTAGGTATTAATTTTTAAGTAATTTTAATTAATACTAAATTTATGAAAATATAAGATTTGTATTTATATATATATATATGTGTTTGTATGTATTTGTGTTTGGGTTTGTTATCTTTGGGTTTTGTATTTATGGTTGTTCGTGTTTATAAGTGTGTGTATATGTATTTTTGTGTTTGTTATATTTATTTAATATATATTTTTATTTAATATAATATGTATATTTAATTAAAATTGTTTAAGTATTGCAATTAATTTATATATATATATTTCTTTGAATATATTTTTTTTTTAAGAATACTATATATTTTCTCAAAATATATTTAATTAGTAGTAGAATTGTATTATAAATTAGTATGGCTTTAAGATTATGTCTCTCGTATAGCGTTGTTGCGGTACTCCGGCTGAATACGTCTTTGTTTGTTCTTCGCGGCATAAATTTTTGTTTCTTCGCGCGGCTCGGAATTCGGTGGAATTTATATCCCCTTTATTCCCAATCTTTTTGTGGAACGTTAGCAATACATATCGTACAAAATTGTTTCGCTCTTTTACTCCGTTGCTCCGTTACATTGCTCCGTTTCTCCGTTCCCCTATTTTGCCATAAAATTATTTCACTCCGTTACTCCGTTCTATTACTCTATTATTCGTTACTCCGTTGCTGCGTTGTTCTGCTCCGTTGCTCCGCTCCGTTCGCGTTGTTTCGGCGCTTTGCTCCATTATTCCGTTACTCCATTATATTCCCCAAGAATATTATGTCCCGTATGAATTCCACAAAATTGTCTTGCGAAGGTTACTCTGTTGCTCGGCTCCGTTGTTCCGTTGTTCGGTTGCTCGGCGCCTGGTATAGAAGTACAATCGCGCAACGGCACAATAACG